AGTGCTTTTGGAGAGCTACCGAATCATAGGATCCTTCCGGCGTACTATCAATTCGCACTCGCACTAGGATTGATTAGGGATTCATGGATTGTCTTCAATATTCTCTCTATTTGCTGCAATTCATGATGAGTGGTATATTCAGTATTCTCCATGCTCACAGAGGATTCCAGCCAAGGTAGCTTGTCAAACTGAATTTATTTTTTGGTCCTTTGCATTCATCTATATTCATCACATCTAAGAGGATGTTTGATCTGAATTTGTCCAATGGATGATGCCCAACTTTACTAACAAACCGATTTGATAAGCTGTGCGCCTATCGGTGAGAATGGAGAGTAGAGTGAATATATAGGGGGAGAACTAGGAAAATTTTCACCATCTCAATTAAAAAATGCAAGGAAAAGGCGAAAGATCTAAAGTCCCCATCTAAAGGTGAGAAAAAGGTCAAGAAAAAGGCTCTAAAGTGTTCCTCATCACCCCTTATTTATATCATTTTGAGACCCACGGGAAAAGCTATATAGAGAAAAATTAAAATACATGCGATACAAAATACTAGTACAACACTATACGACAATCTAGGATACATGCCACCTCCTAATTGACTGTGTATGTGGGCAAAGTTGACAATCAAACAAGCTGTTTGTTGTCGGGTGAGCTCAAGAGGGGTGAGTATACATTAGGCGAGTATGTGGGCAAGTCTGAGAGAAGATGAACCCATGGTTGGCAAATCATTTAGCTAGGTCAGCAACTATCATAGAAGGCTTGAAGTTACCTTATCATAAAAGACAAGCTGAAGTATTTGTGTAGATGAAGGGTCTTAGAGCCTGACAATTATAGCTGAATGGAGTATGGAACCCTGAGATAGCGCCTTCCTGTAACTGAATATGGCCTGCTTCGAGGAAAAGGTTCATATTCAGACAAGCGACATCAACTGCAATTTGATATGCAAGATTTCGATAAAAATCCATAACTGCAATTTGATATTTTTAGCACTTGTTTACATGGTTCTCATGCTGCAGAATCTTCTTGAAAAGCCTGGAGATTTCATGAATCATGATCAGAGAGGAGACGTCGGGGTACTGAGCTCACAATACATCCTCTTTAAAGAGAAGATTTTTCATTAACAACATGAAATACAACATCAAGACCTATAGAAGTATGAAAAAGCATCTAACCATTACTACCTTCATCACCCCTTTCTTCCTCACTGTTACAGCCAAAATTTCTACACTGTGCAGTCCCATACCACCTGAATCCATAAACATCTCAACCTTTTGTTACAACTTACTCTCAAATTTCCAGCCTTCATGCACGAAAAATTATTACATGCGGTGTTCGGACGCGTTTGGAGGACAATCCAGACGCGCACGTCACCCAATAAACAGTGCATTGAGTGACGTGGCTCTTCCGGATTGGTCTCCGAACACGTCCAGACTCCGCACGTAATAATCTCTCTTCTTACACACCCTGCTAAGAAACTGAGTACCTAATGTTCCTTGAGAGGGTGGACTTGGCCTCATCAGGGTTGATCGAACTGGGGCTTTCCGACGTGTCGGAGCTGCTGTTATCACCCCACTGCACCTTTCCTGACCACAACTTGCCCAGAATTCTCTTCGGCATTAGAACTCCCTTCACGTTCCTGCCACCACTGCTCTCTACAGCCATGGTCTCGCCATTGCATTCATCACCTGTGTTCATGGCAGTGGATATCGAGCCGCCTTCGGAAGCACCGCTGGTCCCCCGAGCTGAAAACTGTCTCATCTGCACAAAATAGAGGAGCTGAACAACAACTCTCAAGGGAAGTCTGTCGTTCTGCAGAGCGTGAATGCAGGAATCTGGTGACAGCTTCTTGCAGTCCATTAGCCTGCAAATCTTCTTCTTTTCACTCTTTGTGAGATCTGGATGCTCCTAATTCATCAAAAAATAAATTAAGCGAGTCTGCTATAAATTGAAACGGGATTAACTGATACATTAACAATTTGAAATAGAAGCATAGTTCAAAAGATGTTTCAAACAAGCATAAACGGTCAAATTTTTGAAAGATCAAAATAATTTTCAGTATTTGTGAACAGGCTTGAGGTTTCCTTATTCAGTTAAGTTGAAAGTTGCTTTTTCTTAGGTGTCTGGCAAACCAGCTGAAAAGGTCTGTGGACATAAATCGAATATACCATGAAAACAAAAAATTACAGAGGGCCTCTAATGAAATGCAATGAATTCTATAACTTGCTTTGCTAGATAACTAAAGTAGCTTATAAAGGTATAAGCATAAGGAAGATACTTGAAAGGCTGTAAGTTTGATTATAAAAGCATACTGAAGTTTACCTTCAGGAAATTATCGATAGCCCGATAAAGCTCATCATGAACTGGCCTTGCCGAACCTGACACCATACCAGCTAGTTCAACAAATTTCAAAATAGGAAGGTTAGGATCTTTGGCAGCTTCAGCAAGATACCCATCAATCAATTTCACCACAGTTATTGATAAGTTGCCAGAAACCGAAGCAGGATTCCTGGCTTCTTCGAGCTCTCTGGAGTCGCACGAGCTTCTCTGAGCACCGCCATGCTCATGTATCAAGAACTCTCCCATCACATTAAGTACCAGATCAATGTCATATAAGGTACTCTCCCCTACTGGAGCAGGAATCAATAAATCAGTTACTGATGCTTCCTCCAACTGTTTTCCTATTCTCTTGATCAATTCCTTCCTGCAATTCTCACCGCAATCCAGAAAGCTTGCTTCTTTGAATAGCTTCAGAAGGAAACTACATGAAACTGAGCCTCTCTTTGTAGGCAACAACCAGACAATGGTTTCAAGCAAAACCCGGTACATCGCAAAATCACCTTCATGTGTTGTAGTGGTTTTATTGAAGCCTGGTAATCTTTTATATGCATAAGCTTTAAGAGCTTCTCCAATAACTTCACCACATACTCTACCCTTGGTTTTTATTGCCATTATAACTCTCTTGTAGGAGTCCATTCCAAGCTCACAAAGATCCTCAACCCACCAGTCTTTCGGCACAGATTGCAGCTTTCTCACTCCATTCCACTGAATCTCACCGCCATTTTCTGAAGGAAGCTTCTTTCTATTATATGTATACGACCATTCAACTTCTCCGGGATCGATAGAAACCTTGGAAGCCAAAGATTCTATGCAGTGGCTAACCAGCTTGAGGTCTTCAGACCAAGGTTGCAGTGATTTTGCAGTTTGGAGAACTATGATGGAGTCTTTCCAGCTACGAAAAATGCTAGAATTGAGAAAAATATCAATCTTGTAGATGAGATTCCCCTTCTCGATAGTTTCATGCATTTCGAGATACTCTGCGGCGCAGCGAACTGCAACGACATTGTAAGCATTGAGTGTGACAATCATGCCATAACAAAATTTTGCACAAATCTCAAAGGCTGCAGAGCCACCAGGGATGTCAGGAATGTCAATCTCTTCATTGTTTGTTTCACTTGTGGAGACTAATATCCTCTCCAAACGAGGACACTTGGACAAAAGGGGAAACTGTAGACAAAGTTCATGAAATTTACTGTAAATTATCATCCACTTCGTCTATATATTGGAGGATGCAGAATATTTCATAAGAATATCAAATCACATAGATAATATTATCAGAAGCATGATAATTTCAAAATGCTTATTGCAGTAAATAAAATTAAGGCTTGTATGATGAGAAACCAGTTCTAACTAACTAAAGAATGAAAAAAGGAGATACAAGATGGAGACAAAGATACTCGTCTCAATATGCCGCCATGGAAGATGCGGCGATTGTTGGATCGGTTCATAACCTGAGCTTAAATAGAAAATAGAGAACGATTGGCTGCTGTCATAGAAGTAAGCTCGAAAGTTCCAGAGTCAAAGTTAACTTGTGAATCTGGCGAAAGTGATGGAGCACTGTCGGTTTATAAATGTGAATGAAAAAGTCTTAAGGGTCAAGTTGCGAAAGTGAGGAGTTGGCAAATCTTTGGAGTTGCTTTTTTTGTTCGTCAATGAAGGCCCAAAATAACAGGTGTTTGCGACTGGTTAGAAATTAGCATACGAGGGTGACAGGCTACTCATCTAGTGAGATCTTGAGTAGATATGGAAGGCATCGAAAATTGATCCTATGATTGTCGCAATAGATTTGGAAGAGTTGGCATGAGATGGACAACGTATTATGAAGCCATAGATGAAGACCAAATGTGATGGCTATCGACTCTGTGTGATTATGGTCTCAAATAAAATCATTGGATTAGAAATCACAAGAATGGTGAATAATAACAATAATAGATGGAGTTTGCAATCACACAAATAGTCAAGGCATGGAGATGAATGTAGAATCGTGCTAGTGGCTTCTTGTTTGCATGGGCCTATAGCAAGATGGCAAACAAAAGACAAAAGCACAAGCACAAAAGATGAAAAAGAGGCACTTTGCATCCTTCAAGCCTTGGCAAAGCAGATGGAGATCAGCTAAAGCACAACTTGTGATAACATAATCTCACATTGAACATTTCAAGCTATTCAATACTTCCAACATAATGAAATAAGAGATGGAATAAGGAAAAATATTCATTAATTCATCTCATATACATCGATTTCCCTAATGGGTCCTACTTATAAAATATAAACTCTCATACTAAGGCAATTCCAAGTAACTAACATGGTTTTATATAACTAAATAATTACAACTTGATGTATTTACAATTATACCTAGGAAGTAAAGTTGTGGAGAAGGGCTTCTAACTCGCATAATACTGAGTAAACTTGCACATACAAATTCAATGGAGAAAATTAAAAAACCTCATAGATATAATGTCACATCATAGGCATTGAGAAAAAAGTAGTACATATAAACTAATCCAGCAATTCAAAATGTTAGTTATGATGAAATGCATGATCAGGAGACTCAATTGTCATTAGTATAATTTAGTTCAACTTAGTAAGAATAACAATAACAACTTTGGCGCATTTATGCATGTGATATTGCATTCCCTGCTACAAATACCATTCAAATGAACATTTCAAAACCACAATAATGATACCTTGTGAAGATAAAACTTCACATCCCCCACTTTTACAGTGATATCTGTCGCCAATTCAGTAGCTACAAACCTGCAAATACAAAACTTACATGTTAAGCCTCACCAAAAACAAACAAGAAGTCATATGCCCTACACAAATAATACATCCATTAAGTCTCAAATGAACCCACTGTATGCCAATTTCATTAATTTTGAAACTTCAAATTCTTATTTGGTTTCTTTTAAGAAGTTTAGCAATAACTGATAGGACCAAGAAAACAGTTTGCACCTCTTTTGTATAATAATTGCAACAGAAAAGGAATAATCCCTTGCAATTCCCTTTCTTCTACAAATAATTCACAATCATAATGCATTTTGTAGCGTACAAATAGTTTTGGAAAAGGGCATCACACGTGCATAAGGCTCTCTAATGCAGGAGAAATTATTATATGCGGTCACCGGATGCCGTCCGGAGGCGAATCAGGATATACCACGTCACTTTTTTGCTGTGTACCGGGTGATGTGGCATATCCTGATTCGCCTCCGGACGGTCCTGTGACTGCACAAAATAATTTCCCCTAATGCAAGATCTACCAGGCGTACGTGCCTTTACCCCTATGTAGTAATAAGTGATCTTCAAGTCAGAATTATGGTAACCTAACTATGGCTTCACCATTTTCTTTTTGCGTTTTAAATTTATGGAAAATAAGTTCATTTTATTTTCTCTCCAAAAAATCTGAATGAACCACATAAAACAACATTTCACTGTTTTGTCTAAGGCCAAGAATAAGAGCAAAAGACAATCTGCCATACAAAGTCCTACTGTATTCAAAATTGGAGAAAAGTAGACAATCGAATTGCTAATATTGAAAACCAAAATCACAATAGAAATTATGTGCCTTTAGAAGTTAATTTTGAATCATTTGTAAAATTCTTTTCAGATAGCTCGTGGAAGTGTTGATTTTCTTGATCAATCATTACCTGAAAAGAATAAATTTTAAGATTTATGAAGCCAGTATTTGGTGTACTACACCAAAACAAGTAGGAAAACATGCATGCCTTCTCAGTTAGTTACCCTATAGTAAATTTGACATGAACAAACTACAGGGCTATTTAGCAACAAGTAGGATTTAACTTTAATAGAATTTAATAACTCCTATAAATTTGG